GGGGAATCACTGTAATGCCACTTTGATGATATGTGCTGCTGATTATCCATGCTGCTGATCTCATGCTGCTGTATTAATTCATACCTATCTTCTCACCACAGACTCATGTTGGGGCTGCTGCTGTTCGGCGTATTATTTTTTTTTTACTATTAGTCCTTAATGTATTCTTAGTTTGCTGTATTTCTTAGTTCCATATCTTAGATGTTATTACTGTTTTTCTTTTGCAATTTATACTTTTATTGGATGTAACTAAGACCTTGTGTACACAATTTCGTTCCGCCACATGTACCACATGTGATGCGTATGACAAGTAAAGAAACATTGAATTTGACTTTGATATGCCTTATTGTTTTACATTATTGTTGTTTAGAGATAGACAAAGCTTTTCCTTAGCTTACACATTTCCCAGGAGTAGTTTTCGTTTCGGAAATGTGTAAAATAGGAGCTCTGATTCACAGACAGAGAGCAAAAAAGCAGGAGGAGAACAGGAGAGGTAAGAGAAAGTATCTGCCTCGTACGAGAGTGAGTGCAGAAAATATAACGAAGTTTATAAAGAAGCTGGGCTGTAAAAGTACAGTCTTGCGAAAGTATTCAGCCCCATTGAACTTTTCAACCTTTGCCACATTTCAGGCTTCAAGCATAAAGATTAAAAATTTTAATTGTTTGTGAAGAATCAACAACAAGTGGGACACAATTGTGAAGTGGAATGAAATTTATTGGATGTGTCAAACTTTTTTAACAAATAAAAACTGAAAAGTTGGGGCGTGCGATATTATTATGCCCCTTTACTTTTAGAGCAGCAAACTCAGTCCAGAAGTTCAGTGAGGATCTATGAATGATCCAATGTTGTCCCAAATGACTGATGATGATAAATAGAATCCACCTGTGTGTGATCAAGTCTCCGTATAAATGCACCTGCTCTGTGATAGTCTCAGGGTTCTGTTCAAAGTGCAGAGAGCATCATGAAGACCAAGGAACACACCAGGCAGGTCCAAGATACTGTTGTGGAGAAGTTTTAAGCCAGATTGGGATTCAAAAAGATTTCCCAAGCTTTAAACATCCCAAGGAGCACTGTGCAAGCAATCGTATTGAAATGGAAGGAGTATCAGACCACTGCAAATCTACCAAGACCCGGCCGTCCCTCTAAACTTTCATCTGGAACAAGAAGACTGATCAGAGATGCAGCCAAGAGGCCCATGATCACTCTGGATGAACTGCAGAGATCTGCAGCTGAGGTGGGAGAGTCTGTCCATAGGACAACAATCAGTCGTACACTGCACAAATCTGGCCTTAATGGAAGAGTGGCAAGAAGAAAGCCATTTCTCAAAGATATCCATAAAAAGTGTTGTTTAAAGTTTGTCACCTGGGAGACACCAAACATGTGGAAGAAGGTGCTCTGGTCACATGAAACCAAAATCAAACTGTTTGGACACAATGCAACACAGCTCATCACCCTGAACACACCATCCCCACTGTCAAACATGGTGGTGGCAGCATCATGGTGTGGGCCTGCTTTTCATCAGCAGGGACAGGGAAGATGGTCAGAATTGATGGGAAGATGGATGGGGCCAAATACAGGACCATTCTGGAAGAAAACCAGTTTGAGTCTGCAAGAGACCTGAGACTGGGACGGAGATTTATCTTCAACAAGACAATGATCCAAAACATAAAGACACATCTACAATGGAATGGTTCACAAATAAACGTATCCAGGTGTTGGAATGAACAAGTCAAAGTCCAGACCTGAATCCAATCGAGAATCTGTGGAAAGAGCTGAAGACTGCTGTTCACAAACGCTCTCCATCTAACCTCACTGAGCTCCAGCTGTTCTGCAGGAAGAATGGGCAGAACTTCAGTGTCTCCATGTTCAAAACTGACAGAGACAAACCCCAAGAGACTTGCAGCTGGAACTGCAGCAAGAGGCGGAGCTACAAAGTATTAACGCAAGGGGGCCAATAATAGTGCACGCCCCACTTTTCAGTTTTTTATTTGTTAAAAAAGTTTGACACATCCAATAAATGTCATTCACGATTGTGTCCCACTTGTTGTTGATTCTTCACAAAAATAAAAAAAAATTATATCTTTATGTTTGAAGCCTGAAATGTGGCAAAAGGTTGAAAAGTTCAAGGGGGCCGAATACTTTCGCAAGGCACTGTGTTTGTGATTAGTAGGGTGGATCTGTCATACTGGGCTTTCAGTTCAGTTAATTTACTGCTCTTTGCTCGAACTTCAGCAGATCATGTTGCTCAAATGAGATGTAGTGAAGAGCGCTTCACGTTGCCACTTTTGATTAATGCGACCGTTTCGGACCATATGAGGCAAACAGGTTTTGAACTGCCTGCCGGAAGAATGAGCATAAATTTCTCTGTCCACTCATCTTTAAAACAGTTTTCATCATCAACTTTTCTTATTTTGGAGCACGGCATGCTGTCTCTTCCTCTCTGCTCCTTCTCAAATCTTATCTGGTGAGAGCTTGCTGCACTGGCCGTGAAGCGGAAACAAAATATTTGATTGGCTCATTAATTGAGTGACACTGTTACCATAATACCTGAAGTAGATTGAACCTCCAGAACACACCTCCTGCTTCTCTGCTTGACTCTGCACCTAAGCTGTCTATCGCTGGAAAAATGCTCCTTGAAAATTATCTGTTGTTGTGAATTTATTAGATTGGGCACTAGTCCGGACATAACCATCACTCGACCTGGATCCGTACCGAGATCCTCTTATTAGTGACCTCTGCTGTGCACTTTTCCAGATGTTCCAGTATTCCAGATGTTCCTGTTCACTGGTCCAGTCACTTGCCTACCTGGATCTCACATCCTGCTAATATGTGCTGGACTTTCTCAGAAGCATCTTTGTCCATTGGGTCTGTGGTTGATCCTGACCTCTGTAGCTCTTGTGCTGCCATGATTAGTTCCTCTTCAGTCAGTATTGTAGTGACCTTTGGATGTTTTTCTTGCTCTGACTTTCCTAATACATATTATTGAAGATGTCAAGGCATACACTCAGATGCATTCTTATTACTATTTGCTCATAATTGTTTAGGCTCAACACAATATGTAATATGACACTCCTGGAGCTTCAGAAATACATCACAACATCTGATTTGATCAGGAACAGAGTGGCAGCAGGATATCAGATGGCATAAATAAAGTTCACAATAAATCAGCTAAATATATTTCCATAGATAAAATGATCGTTTGGAACTCTGCATCTCAGAAGGACTTTACAGCAGAACCAACATTCACTGTTTAAATGGGACACAGAATTTTTATTTTTTGATGTCTTAAATAGTTTTTATACAACCTCAGTTTAAGTTTGATGAACTGTGGAGGTTTTCCCACATAATGTTCAATGTAGAGTCTGATAGGACAATTTGGAGAAGTGGAACCTAATTCCTACTACAAAAAGTCATTTTGATCCAGTTCTCTTCATACCTGGTTCTCGTTGCATGGCTTCCGATGGTGAGATGCACAAACAGTCAGGATGATGATCATGATGAGCAGAGCACCACAGGATGCCAGGATGGCTATCAGAGTTTTGTAATCAGTTGGCTTCTTCTATGAAGGACCAAACAATGGAAGCATTACTAACAAGCATAACAGACAACATGTTTGTCTCCAGAACCAAAGCCTTACCGTGGAGATGTCTTCCTGGGTCATTTCTTCATAATACTGCTCTGCAAGGCTGGTCTTCACTGGAATAGAAATAAAAAATGAACGAGTCTGATAAAGATTGAGTTTCCCTGCAGAGATCTGAACAGTGGAGGCTGTTTTACCTTGACCGTTGATCTCTACACTATCAAAATGCACTTTGTCGCTGAATTGCCTCCACATCAGGATGCAGGTTCCATTTTGCCAGTTTGGCATCAGCTTCTTGCACAACTCTGCAAAACCTTTCTCTTTGACTGTCTGCAAGTGACACAACACAGCTTTAGTGAGTTCAGTCTTCACCTCAGCACAGATCATGTTTTCAGAAGACATGAGGTGGCAGCTGTGATTATTATTAACTTTTACTTAACCAGGAAAATCCCATTGAGATCACAGATCTCTTTTGCAAGGGAGGCCTGGACCTGAAGGCAGCCTAACATGCATGTTTTTGGTCTGTGGGAGGAAACCAGAGCACCTGGAGAAAACCCACACAAACACGAGAACATTCAAACTCTACTCAGAAAGACCCCAGGTCCAACCAGGGATTGAACTTAGAACTTTGTTGCTGTGAGGCAATAGTGCTAACCACTGAGCTGTTATGCTGCCTATGAGACCTTCCTGTGCTGTGGTGTGGTGATAGTTTTGGTTGTATGCTGGAAGGACTCAGCTATGTGGGCAGGAGGGACTGTGGGAACAAAGGAAGCAAGTGAAAGACACTTTCCACCTGGAATTAGAATTCTTGATTCTTCTTTTCAAAGTTTTTTTAATATCAAGCATCTCTGCTTCCTGTTTTTCTGGAAACAAAGTGCAAATGTTCCTCTGGTGGGGTGAAATGTCTTATTTGTTTCGAATATGATTGGTTAAAAAAAGATGATTTACTCCCAAAAACTTTCAATGCTGAGTGGTTAAACCTTTAGGGGAGGTAGCTGAAGAGTCAAATTTTTAGCAAAATTTGTAAAACAAATGTCAATGTTTTTTGAAAAAAACTAAATTGTCAGGTGTAAAAGTAAAACAACGTGTTGTTTAAATAAAATCAAACTGTGGAAATCTTGATTGATTTCTTTAAGAGACTGAGGTTGTTGTTTAGGTGTCTTGGCTTCTAAATAAGCCAAAATAATCAGCTCTCTACCTCCATGCCTGCAGTTGATGCGAGTTGTTTGTAAGGAAGGACATTTTATTTCCGAAGCACTTTTCACAGATTTATTTATTAATCTTTATTTAACCAGGCAAATCCCATGCAGCATCACAAAGTGCTTCACATGAAGCAAAATAATTAAAACAATTAAAAACAGAAAAAACAAGTGAGGTAAGAGCCTGTATAAATAAAAATGCCTTTAGATGTTTCTTAAAAGAGTCATTGGCATCTGAAGAGCAAAGGGACAGTTGCGCAGCGTTCCTGAAAGGCTTGATCTCTGCAGGTTTTTAAACAAGTACATGGCACCACCAACAACATTTGACCCGAAGGGAGATGGAGGTTCCAAAAGGTCAAACCTGTATTTGGGGGCCTGACCATGATTCTCTAAAGGGTTAGGTCTACTATAACCTTACCCAGTTGTAGGGTCAAGAGACAAACATGTAGCATTAACACAGTATGAACAACATTCAGGAATTGTTTCTAGAAGAACATTATCAAATATTTTACATGACTTTACCTGGTAGAATAAAGGTTAAATAAAGTCAAGTCAAGTCAACTTTATTTGTAGAGCACATTTAGAACAGAACCTGTTATCAAAAGCCCCTTATCCACGGGTCTTTTTGGTACTCCTATGTAACTAGTTGTGGCCGATTGCAGGATTTATCAACAATGCCTTTAACGGTGGAACCCACCCCATTTTTGAGACCTAAATCACTGAGGTCCCAGGTCTGGTTCTTTTAGGGTCTAGTTGTGACATCAGCGCACTGTAGGTCACTGATTGGTCAGGGGGCGTATTCATTGGTGGAGGGCGGAGATTCAGTCTTCCACCGGAAATCACAATCCACCATTTTCTTTTTCACCCGCATAACAGACAACAAGAAATCGGAGGAGCTTATTTTGGAATATTTTATAAGGTAAAACAAATAATCATGGCACAACCGTGGTCGAATGCTGAAGCTCAGGCATTTCTCTGTTTGCTGGCCGATGAACAAGTGCAGCGCGAGCTAGATGGAACGAAACGAAATAAAAAGATTTTTCAAGAGGTGTCTGCGCAGATGGCGGTGCACGGCTTCCATCGCACACCAAAGCAAAGAGGAAAGCTTAAGACATCTTTAACACCTCACTTACCCTGGAGACAGTTCCCACCTGCCTGAAGACTGCCACCATCATCCCAGTCCCAAAAAGCTCTACAGTGACTGGTCTGAATGACTATCGGCCAGTGGCCCTCACCCCGATAGTCGCTAAATGCTTCGAAAAACTGGTCATGACTCGCATCAAAACAACCATCAACATCAACAAGGACCCTCATCAGTACGCATACCGTGAGAACCGATCAACAGAGGATGCAATCTCCTCTGTGGTCCACACTGCACTCAACCACCTGGAGCAGAAAAACTCTTACGTCCGTATGCTCTTTGTGGACTTCACATCCGCCTTCAACACCATGATCCCCCAAACCCTGATGGACAAACTATCCACACTAGGACTAAGCCCCTCCATCTGCAACTGGGTACTAGACTTTTTAACAAACAGACCACAGTTAGTGAGGATCCACAACCTCTCCTCCTCCACCATAACCCTCAGCACTGGCTCTCCTCAGGGATGTGTGTTGAGCCCCCTTCTGTTTACTCTGCTCACATATGATTGTGCAGCTACCCATCCAGGCTGTCACATTGTAAAGTTTGCAGATGATACAGCGGTGGTGGGATGCATCACAAACAATGATGAGTCCAGCTACAGGCAAGAGGTGGAACACCTGGAGAGCTGGTGCAGAGAGAATAACCTTCACATCAATGTGAAGAAGACAAAGGAGATGATTGTGGACTTCAGAAGGAACAAAAACACCTACACCCCCCTGAACATAAGAGGATCTGCGGTGGAAGTGGTCTCCAGCTACAAGTACTTGGGTGTACACATGAATGACAACCTCAGCTGGAGCAACAACACCACCAGCCTGATCAAGAAAGCTCATCAGAGACTCTACTTCCTCAGACGGCTGAGGCGAGCTGGTCTGGGAAGCTCAGTCCTCACCTCCTTCTACAGGTGTGCAGTGGAGAGCATCCTGTGCTCGAGCATCAATGTGTGGCATGGAGGCTGCACAGCTGCAGAAAGAAAAGCTTTGCAGAGAGTGGTGAAGGCTGCACAGAAATCTGTTGGAATCAGTCTCCCCACCATCACAGACATCTACACCTCCAGATGCAGGAAGAGGGCCACCTGCATCATGAAGGACCCCACCCACCCAGCACACACACTTTTTGCCCCACTCCCCTCAGGAAGGAGGTTAAGGAGCATTAAGTGTAGAACCACTAGACTGAGGAACAGCTTCTACCCTGAGGCTGTTAGACTCATGAATCTCTAACTAGAATAATCACTGTGAAAAACCATATCATGTTGCTGCTGATCTGTTTCATGTTGCTGCTGATCTGTTTCAATGTTGATGTGTTCATGCGTGCACATCTGCTCACAGACTCATGTTCATGTTTGTGCTGATGTTCAATGTTTTATGTTATGAGTGCTTAGTGTATATTTAGTTGATGTTTTTCTTAGTTCATATCTTGGATGTTATTACTGTTTTTCTTAGACATTTTATTGTTGGATGTAACTGGGACCCCGTGTACATAATTTCGCTCCACCACATGTACCACATGAGGTGCGAATGACAATAAAGAAACTCTGACTCTGACTCTGACTCTGACTTAAAAAACTAATAGCTGATGGTGAGTGTATTTTATTTACTTTAAGCATATTTCCTTTCCCTCATGCAACCGTTTCTTTGCGTTTTCTGAAAGTACTCTGAACAAACGAGGCTGACGCGGTTACGTCGTCATTAGTTAGCATCATTGCTAACTGTACTCTGTTGCTGTTTTTCCACTCTTATTTTGATGCAGAAAGTCCCACTGAAGATGAAGGTTCGCCAGATTCTGCTTTTGACTGTCCAATCCTCCCCGCTTCTGACCCTTCCCGACCACACCAGCTCCGAGTACATCCATGCCACCGGGCACATGCACGCCACCGGGCACATGCACGCCACCGGGCACATCCACGCCACCGGGCAACACGCAGCAGAGCGGCACCAAACAGCACCCGTTACTAGGTAAGAAGAAGCAACAATCGTGTTTAACATCACATTGATCATGTTGATATGAATGTTGTTTTGTTTTTGTTGTAAAACACCTTGCATGTATTCAAACTACTTGTTTATTCAGTTGTAATGTATAAATGTTAAATTTAATTATTCATTTATTACTTAAACTTTCATTTATGAAGTTTATTATTGAAATTATACAGGGTGTAGTGATTTTTGTTCAGATTAACGATGCTCTGTTCTTTTTCTAAATTAGCACAAACCGTTGTAAATGACTACATGTAGTTTATTTATGCCCACCTGCTTACTATCATTAAAGTACTAGACTGCTTTATGAACAGAATCATTTCTGATCTTGTGAACAAACACCTTTTGAAATTAGCAATTAGCAGGAACTTTAATGTTAATAATTTATTAAAAAACTCTACCTGTACTTCATCATCTAACAGCCATTTTCTTGTGTGTTATTCCTAGGCAATAGAAAGCGCAGATCAACAAGTGCAGCAGAGAGCTTTGTTTCTGCACATACAGAACAAGAGGAGATGAACCGGAAGCAGAGAGAGGAACACTTCCATTTTATTTGTGAGGATGCCAAAAAGGCAAGGCAAGAAGAAGCTGCAGTAACGAGGAAGCAGGAGAAGGCCATTAGGAGGGAGGAGATGGCCTTGAGGAGAGAGGAAGCAGATGTTCGCAGAGAGGAAGCAGCACAGCGAAGGCAGGAGGCTGAACAGAGTGCTGTTTTCAATCAGGCACTCCTTGGGGTGCTGGAATCCATTGCCAGTTCCATGGCAAACAGACATGTTTAAAAATATTTATTGTAGAACTTAGTTGATATATAGAAATGTAGATCCTGCAAGGTAAGACCACAAATAGCCAGACATGTACCGTGTAAAGTTTTCATATGTAAGTAGTGTATAAATTTTTTTAATGTCTTTATTTCTAATAAAAAAAAATTTTTCAAGTCTTGAGCTTCCATCTGATCATCAAAGTGAAGTGCTTAGTGTTTTTTTACGTCAATAGTGTAGATAAGTGAAGTAATTG